AGATATCGGAGTATGCGAGAAGATTACCTGGTATATAAGGGCATGCGAGAATATTACTTGAGATATCGGAGTATGCGAGAAGATTACCTGGTATATAAGGGCATGCGAGAATATTACTTGAGATATCGGAGTATGCGAGAATATTACTTGAGATATCTGAGTATGCGATACTATTACGTCACTCAGTAATTTTTCTTGGCTAAATACGTAGGACTACATTATACTTCTCTTGGGATTTAAACCACATTCCAGTAAGAAAACATTTTTTTTTTGTATTTCGTTTTAAAGAATTGAGTGCACTAAAAAATTAACCCGTATTCTTGTGTTTCTACATGGCTGTATTAATAATGTTTTCTCAAGCCAATAATGAAGCAGCTGCAGAACTCATTAGCCAAGTTCTTTCCTTTATGTCTTTAATTTTGTGTTATTTTTATGGAAACGTCTTCCCGTTTCCTTTGTTTACTGATATTTTTTAAGCTGCTGGAGTATCTTAGTAATTACTTACATTAACGGAAAACGTACTGAGAAAAATACGGAACACAAACACGCACGTTTGGTGGATAAAGTTTATTATGTAAAGTAGAAGGATCAACGTTGTGGCAAAAGGTCCTTTTTTAAACGGCGCTGTTTGTTTGTTGTTGTTGTTTGTGTGTGTGTGTAATTCTGGCCATAGCGAAAGAAAAAGCCTTATATTTAACACTAAAGTTATTTTGGAGGTTTGTTTGTTTGTAAGCTTCACAGTGGGCTATCTGTGCTCTGCCCATCACGGGTATCGAAACCCGGTTTCTAGCGTTGTAAGTCCGCAGACATGCCGCTATGCCACTGGGGGGGGGGGGCAATATTTTGGAGGTTTTAATTACTTGAACAATTTCCGTTAATCCCGAAAACTACCAAGAAAGTAGAATTTGGTTTCGATAACTAAACATTTAGCTAGATATTTTAACACTCCAATTTAATATAACTCTTTCTAGATTTCTAAATTTCTTAATCTAATCAGTAACCCAGATGTCTATTTAGATTACTAGTAGTACCTTATTAAACGTGTGTTATATTTTACATGAAATTTAATATAATATTCTTTACACCAAATCACATTCTAGTCTTAAGGATCTGAGTAGTGTACGTTTAAACTTTGCATATGTAAGATATAGTCAGAACGCTTATGATATATGGCCAAAAGTTTCCACTCAGAAACTCTGTACAATATATATAGACATTTTAAACTATATGGCAATTGTATGTAAGTATACATGTACAAACTCATTTTCTGCCAGCATTCAGAAAGTAATCAGACATTTGTATTCCATATTAATACATAATTGTCAGTGTTTTAATATTTCAGAAGTCAAATACGATAAGGAAAATTAGAATACAATATGTACAAATTACTTTTTTTTTGTATTTATTTCTACAATTTGTTGACTGGTGTCAGTACAGCATTTAAAATTCTCACACAAATATTGTATGTTATAGAAAACTAGAGTTAATAATCTTGGAGATTTTTACAGGACTCGCGAGGAATAAAACATAAGTCAAGATACTGAGTATTATCACGATACGCTGGTTTCTATAATTAAAAAGTTTACAGATGTGTAAGACAGCAACGTCAGGCTAATTTTCGCGCATGCGTCTATTAACTTCAAAACTCGAACTGGGACGCAAACGTGTGTGACCAGGTGATTAGCGTGTAACATGGAAATAATGACACCTGCATGGGAGTGACAATAACTTTTCCCCCAACCCATTTCGCCTTTTCTAACCTGATGTTGTATAGTTTTATATATTGAAAAATTTTTCACAAAAATCGATAAAGCTGCCGCCTGGTGACAACACCATTTTCATAACAAGTAGTTTTAAAACCGACGGATACGATAAATTGTTGTTTTTTTCTTTGCTTGCTTGAATCACTGATTTTTGTATTGTTTTTATCGATACGACATAATGTTAAGTTATAATATCACGACTGAAACTCTGAATTTCTAATTAAGTTGTATTGGCAGTTAATATAAAGTGAGAGGGAGCCAATGTAGGAGCAATATTATTCAATATTGGTCAATGACTGACAAACAATTCAACGATATTTAGAAACACGTGGAACACATGCAGACCTAATATGAAATCTAGGAACAATTACTTCAAGCTACTTCATGAAATTACACTTGCATTACACAGTGCAAGTTCGACTAAGTTTAACTTAAAATCGCTTTTAAACATTATAAATAAAATGCATTAATGAAATATTTTTTAACAACAAAATTATTAACTTCATGTGTTGTTTTCCTCAACTGAATTTTAAGAGAGCCCCATTTATAGAAAGAATAGCTATAGTTTGTTATGAATTTCGCGCAAAGCTACACGAGGGCTATCTGCGCTAGCCGTCCCTAATTTAGCAATGTAAGACTAGAGGGAAGGCAGCTAGTCAT